AAGAGTAAAACGTACATTACCGCAAGTTTATGACACTTGGTGTATTACAACTAGGAAGAAGGTGAAAATTTGAAGATTAAGTATAAATAACTTATTCGCCTTTATACGGAAGAAACCTGATGACTATAAAGGAGACGTTATTCTGCACTTGCAATACTTCTGATTTATGTTTTTGTAAACAATAAAATTATAGGAAATACCATTTATTGTATGTTCTTTGAGGTGGCTATGAATCCGATTTTAGTTTTCTACAATTCTAAATGGCGAAAGATTTTTAAAGAATGAAATATGATTCGATTAAAATTTGCCGCACTCACTTTTTTACGGGTTCATTATATGACATAAATTTATTAAATTGAAAAATAGCCGATTCACTATGCTAATCTGATTAATTCTAAAAAAATCATTTGTCACTTTTTTAAAATTTTATAATATTTATTACCTTAACATAATTTTTTTTAAGAATTACACCTTGGTGGTCCATTAAGGTTGGGAAAATTTAGTTGCAACATTCAGAAAAGTTTGTGTATAGTTGTTTAAATGGCTGTACGAGAGGAAAAGTTTGACGCTAAACTTTACGGAAACTTTTAGTGCAATTTGCATCTTTACTTTTGGTGCGCATTAGATTTCTACAATAGTTCCGGTTGCGAAATAGTTTTTTAAAATATTTTACGCAGGGGTCACAAGAGTGTGTTACAAATTTATTATACAAATTTTTTTTCCTTTAGTTATAAACTTTTGTTTTACATATATATATATATATATATATATATATATATATATATATATATATATATATAGTATTTAATGTCTCAAGTTTCACCGTCAATCTTTATTCTTCATACGTAAGAATATTTAAACATTTTTCCATAAAAAATGAACTAGCGCGACCTTTAAAAAAAGACTAAAAGTGCGGTTAAAAAAGACAAATAGAATGTCTTTTTTCTATAATCTTATAATAATATTTTGAGATGTGTTACAAAAATTTTGAAGTTTCATTTTTTTAGGCACGTACTCTAATTCTTATTCATGGGCTATACTACTGGCAGAACGGTTTTCTTACGATACATAATCTTAAGAGCATATATATATATATATATATATATATAATCCATTTGATTTGTCAAAGAAATATAGATTGTAGTGAAGTGGTGCCACTTTAGATTCTATATTTCCCCCCTCGAAATTATAGATGTCTAAGAAATCTAAGCTCTTCTCATTATCAACTTGTTAGGCAAAAGATATCATGTTTACCCAGTGGCTGTTGGTCGACTGGGTCTCGCTGTCTAGCTAGCAGGTCCTTTTTTAGTGTACTCACATGGTGGGCCTATATGTCGGCACTTTTCATCTCTATCGGCATCTTTGCTAAGCCGACTGTCCTTATACATATACGTTGAACTTATAAGATTGGTTCTCAGGGTCCTCCCACTGCTTTCCTCTGTGGGATGTTCTGCTTTCATCTCTACTTCATTTATAATAAATTGGAACGACTCTGTTTAGCTGAAAGTCAAAGATTATTCTAATGCCATTTCAAAATCCCTTTCTTAACGGCCTGTTTTCTAAACATTCCCAGAAATCATCTATTATGACTATATATTGTGTATAAATAAATATCATTATTTATAATGTAGAGAAAAGACACTCTTTCTCTGAAGCGAATTTCTTATTCCGTTCTTCGAGCTTTTTTCTAATACATTTTCCTTACGAATTTTAGGACAGGTGAAACAAATAGATAGAGTTTTTGGGAAAGATTTAGCATAAATTTTATTAAGCTGCAATAGGGTAATTGGCATAAATTTTGCATCTCGATCGTGTTTTCATGCGTAAAGAATCGTTCCTTGTGAGTTGACATATAGTTGATCCCTTTTTCGGCTATGAAAATGTCGGATCTGGTGCGCAAAACGATTTCTCGAGGAGAAGTAATTTGGATTTATCGAGTTGATCGCAGCGCCAGCGTTTGTGTGTGGGGACCAGGTGTGAATTCGACGAGCCCAAAACTAATGGAGCCACAAATCAATGGAACGATGGGCCATCATTATTTTCGCCAACACAACGTGTTTACCACACACTATATATCTGATAGAAGAACGGACCGAGCAACGACGAAGGGGAGACACTGATCCACCTCTCATCCCTTACGCTCGATCTATTGTATTGTATGATGCGTGCGGAGCACCAAACTTTATTTGTCGGTTCAAGTTTTGGTTTCTCGTTATATAATTGAATGGCTACTAATCTTTGCATATGTATTTCATCAGAGATATTCAATTATCAAGGTGTTCATCTTCTGTAACTTATTTTGGAACTGAATTATTTTTTAAAGAATCGTGTAAAAGGAGTTTTGTCCTCCAAATATGGAATTATACTTTACACTATAAGTATGTACCGGGAAAATACAGCAGCTGATCATTTTTCTAATCCAGTCTATAAAAATTGTGTTGTCACAGACATATAAAATGCAGTGGAATGTGAGTGAGACGTTTGTCATTGAGCACGCGCGGTGTTGGTTCGTCCTTTCAGAGTAAATACATATAAAAAGGGATAAAAGAAGCTGACGAGCAAACGAATGGAGGAGCGAATGAGTATCAGTAGAGAGTTATTATTCTCGAGTCCGGTAAAAGTCGAAATGGTGTGTGTTTGAGTCAGTGCCGCATCCCAAATGACAAATGCGAGGCGCGTCGGCACGGTCAAATATCCCCTGTGATCTGTCAGTGCCCAATGGCCGCAGGACCACGCTTTTCGTTAGAACTCTGTGTATAGGTGTGTCCTCTTATACACAGATAGGTTCTACATTATTACTATTAGCTGTGACCGCACGGATATGGCTTTATTACCAACTGAAACCTATGGAGACATATAGAGACCGACACATGATTAATGACTCGTTCACGAATTGGTCCAGCTAGGAAAAGATTTGAGCCACCTAAAAGTTAGTTCAAAATAAACGCATGCTTTCTCTTTCGCAACCGTTATCATTTTTAAAAAAGACAGTTTACAAAATTGACGCCTGATTATTAGTAATGCAAAGGCAGTTATGACTTTTCCCTTGCATTTGTTACCATCGCAATAGAACGACACTTGTTCGATTTGTAACTTGTTCTTCCGAGGTTTGAAGCCATCGCCAATAGAGAACGCTTTCTCGGCTCGTTCCATTACATTGCTTTGTCGACGTGTTGTCACCAATTGTCGCGCGCTGCGCCCTGCGAGTTTACACACAACAGGGTGACGCGCAGTCCATGCGATTCTATTGTCGGCGAAGCCGGTTTCTTCCTGTTGTCTCCATACGGTTTTTCCCTCCCTCGATGGCGAGAACGAGACGCCATTATGCAGCTGTATACCGAATCAGATGCTGACTCCGCGAGATGTCTCCATCAGATCGCAGAATCTAGATCTCCCTTCTCTTTCTTCCTTTCGGTTGGCGTGCGTTCGCATTTTATTACCGATCCTGAACAAGGCGCAAGCACAAGTGCGTTCAGAGCAAATCTGTTATCAATTTGTATTCATATTTACATACCTTGCAAGCCAACCCTCTTCAATTTCTTTTTCATTTATTTCTGCCCGATGCGATGTTATCTCGTTCGTAAATAGTTTTGGCATAGATCGTTTTATTTTTCCTAATTTTATATATTTATTTATAATTTATATTTCTCTTTTGAAACAAGATTAGTTTTATAACTAGGGCGTTGGAAGTATTAGATTACTTAGAACGACGACGGCGTCAAGGTTTATTCAAAAAAGGTGGCAATGGTATCCAACGACATTGAGGTATCACGTGACGCTATTGTACTCCTAACTGCGAACGACATCCTACAGGATACGTCATGAGATCCTGCAGGACTAATTTACCAGGCCTACTCTATCTTGTAGCATTGGATGACGACATTGATGGATACATTGTTGCTCCCATTGTGCTTATTGTGACACGAAAATCGAGATGCATGTCTTTATTGTTTGCTTGTTTGTGGCTTTCCCTAAAAAACTCGGGAAACATCACTTCTATTATGAAGAAACCTCTCGCGAAAGTACAATTCAATATCTCCGAATAACATGGATCAAAATTGAATTTTTTTCTTCAAATCAGATAAAACTAAAATAGTGCGACTTTGAAAAAATGAAATAATCGAAATAGTAAGAATGAAATATTTCAATTTTCGTTAAGTTGAAAACGAAAAAGTATTTTAACAACCATTTACTGTTTTGATGACATGATCCTCCTTTGGATGTATAACTGTCGCGCGTTGCGTGAGAAATAAAATGGAATTAAAATGTATATATACATTGTTGAGTCTCGAGTGCAGGTAATTTGAGTCGACGCGCCCACCATCATAGGTGTCCAAAGACGATACGAATACATCTATTACTTTTCTAATGTATCTTTTGTGATTCTATAAAATCGAAACTGTATTCAAGAGGTCCTGAGAATTAGCTCGAGAGTATCCTGACACCTCAGTCACTCGACCGCGGTAATCCTGGATGGAGATAATCTACAATGAATGGCGCAACGGTGCAAATTTCAATTGAGAATGCTCCATTTAGCATCTAATACTGTCTGGCCGAACCTCCCTTTTGTAATCAAAATCACCCCTGTGCAATTGTGTGAATCAAATCGCGAATGTGTCAGAACTTATTTAATTCATGAAAACAACCTCAATATACATATATATATATATATACATTTAAATGATATATGTATACACTATTCACTTTTCGTCATACTCTAAAAGTAGAATTAAACCAACTTTATAATTTTCAATTTCTATAATTGGTCAAAACTTATTAATATGAAAAATAAAAATTTTGAATAAAATTATTATTCTAAAATATGGATATATGAGAAAATGGTAAAAATATATATAGATATAACATTTTTGATTGAATAGCCCATATATTCCATTAGTTTTTTTCCCATTCCTTGTTTTTTAACTTTGTAGCTATATCTCTTTTCAGCTTTAAATTTTCATCAATATGTGAATTCAATTCAGATCATTTTTTCTTTTTAGATATAGATGTCTTGTTGAAGATAATATATAGTTTCTCTGCGAAATCTGATATCCTTTTGCCAGTATAAGAATAGAAAGAAAAATATAAACCTGGCTTCTGGTTCTTGTTGTATTTGCTCAATTTACAGTTACATAATTCCATAATGAAGGGCGTCTTTTTGTAGCGAGATGTTGCAAACATGGAGGACACAATAGGTCGCGAGTGAATTGACATGTACAATAAGCGTAAGTAAAGTTTGAGTGTCATATTACTCTGAAATTATTCATTTCTTCAAATCCACTTACATACAACTGATGAGAGATCATATATATATATATATATATATATTTATAAACTAAGCGGCTTTCACAAATCAAATATTTAAAATTATCAATTCGACAAATTATTAGATCCACTAATGTGAATTTTCAAGTTTTTAGTTTTACGTCACAAATGTTTATTATATAATATTATAATTATAATAATATCGCACGAATAAACGATAAAAAAAGTTTTTAAATGTTTTTATATACACATTAGATAAGTTATTGAAATGCTTATTTCAATGAAAATTGAAGAAAAATCTTCAGTACGAACAGAAAGAATGAATGAATACGAAGATTATGAATTGTAGATTCTGAAAATTTGTTCTTGTCGGGAAATGTTAAACTTTTCTTTGATGATGAATTCAATTCCACTACTGTTTTCTTTAAAAATCATCCGCATCGTACCCAGGAGGATTCGCAAGGTAGTGAAAAAAATATCATAAGCCCAAAAATTGATTCCGAATCAGTCGACATATTTCCAAGACCCATGAGTGGCGTTTTTCGTTGTTCAGGGAGTTTTGTTTGTATCGCACCGCGTCCTTTATCCATTTTCATTCACTTGGTTACACCATTTTGTAGCTGAACCTAAAATAACACCTCCGTTTTGATTTTGTTTTTTTCCAATTTACCGACTGATTACACACGTAGTATTTCGAATGAAAGTGAAGATGCTTTCAGACCAAAGATAAACCAAACATTTCAAAATATCCAAGTCATCGAATTAACCAAACCGAATTCGAATTTAACGCACGATTAATAAAAATGTATAAATCGCTTACAGAATTTATTCCTAATATTTTTGTACTTTTTATATTGTAATGAGATGGAATAAGATGACGAAAATGGCACTGCAAACATATATACATAAGTTTATTGTCCTAATACCTTATGTTTCTGGTCTTGATCCTGAGGATAATTGATGCAAAGCGTCATTATTGCGGTTCATCGTCGTGGCACGGACGATAGCAGTGGCGGTTTTCTGTTTATATAGTTGGCGCACAGCCCGCGGCATCACCAAACAATGATGCATCCCCGTTGTTGTTGTTCAGGATTATCCGCGAGGTCTTTGTATCCTAAGTACAACACATTAGGCCAGACGTTACGGATAATGGACTATTTATTTTAATAGCGGCAAACGGTAGTTGAGTCCTTCGGGCATCGCATCCAACGAGTTTAAAGGCCACGCTGCGAGCTTGTTTCTTTCCGCTTGAAGAAAACTAAGAGAGAAAAATTCTCAGGCAGGTGTAACAATAGAATCATGTTATATCATTCGGTGAAATTAAGTATTCAAAATTTGCAAATCTCAATTTTTCACCTGATAAGGCAAATTATTATTTGTATTTAATTGATATAATGATGTTTTGAGTAACCTTTTATCTATAAGTAATGAATACACTAATATTGCGTTTAATCAATGTCTTTCAATATAATATTATTAGTGATAGTGAGACTGGGAACATTAATATATATATATATATATATATTAAGTCTGACTTGTGTAATGGATGGTTACCGTGACTAAAAGGACTAATCCTGACGAATGCTGCCGCTGTTGACTCTACAAGATATTATTGAGGAAAAGCTGGAATGTAAATCATGTACATTTTATTACAAACTATATTCATTAGTCGCGTATTAAAAAATTTTCCCTTCTTAAAGAGCATTAAATTGTACTGAAAAAAGGCTCTTTGTTCTTATACCAATTATTTATGTTAATATCACTGAAAAAATTATATTCTAAATTTAAAATATCTTCTTGGCGCCAATTTAAGAATATTTCCCATGCATTTGATTCTTAGTTAGAATATGATATTCTTAAAATAAGAAACACTATAGAATATTTCTTAATTTAAAAAGTGTTTCTTACATATTAAGAATAAGAATATTATATTCTAACTATAAAAGAATAAAATACATGGAAAATATTTTTAAATATGCCCCAAGAAGATATTATTAAATTTAAAATATTATTTTTTAAGTCAAGTTAATAGTAAAATATTGTGTTTCAAACAGCTCCATAAAGGGTGGAGAGTTTTTCAAGCAGTAGAATATCTCAAAATCCAAATGGAATCACTGACCTTCTGTTTTCGAACAAAACTCATCTCTCTGTTATGCGTATATGAGTGGTTGATTTAGGGTTTCGAAGTGGAGAAATTGGCTTTCAGTGATGCTTTTGTTTTTGTATCCAAAGCAGATGATCGGTTTTCCACTATTTTTGAAGATGGTCAAGCTGTTTGTTCACGTGCCGCATTTCACGGAAAATTCAACATCTGTTGAAAAAATACCCTTTACCTTCATTTTAATAGAAACTATAAGCTTTTACTTGAATCATGGAGAATACATTATCACTATTATTTTTAAATGCTTCTTTATTAGATTGAATAATTTATTCTTTATGTATTCAAATAGTAAACAAAAATGTGTTCTTGAACAAATAATATATGATATTAAATTTAATATTATTGATATTTAAAGTTATGAAATTCAAGTTAAAACAAATGTTTTTTTTTAACGTCCGGAAAAATATATCAATTATCAAATTCGTTATTTAATTCATTTGTCAGCAAGGTGTCTGTAGCGATTGGATAATGACACACGTTCCACAAAATTGACCACATCTGTTTATCAACTGTCAGCTTCCAATATAGTCCCAAATTTTAAAAACTCTAACGTCATGCCGACCTATTTTTCTTAAACGTCCTAAAAATTAACTGTTGATAACTAAAATTATTTTCCTTTTATTTCCTGAAAATATAAATATAAACGAAAATTATATTAATTTTTCTGTTAAAGTTTAAAAACGTTAAAAAACGTCAATTATCTTGGAAGAAATTTAAGAATTAAGAAAAACACGTAACAAATTTAGATTTGTCTTGAACACAGCTCTATAGCTGTAATTTTTTAAAACCACCTTCATAACTTTCAGGAAATAATTTTAGTTTCTATATTTTTTACGTTAAGTCAGAAATCTTCTAAAAAGGGTGTTCTGATAATTCGGTTTTTATATTTAATTTTGAAAATTGTTTGTATGTATACATATATAAGATTTTATATATACCGAAAGTTGTAAAATATTTGAAGGAGGTTATTTTTGACTAATATTTTGTACTCTTCTCCTTTGGTGCTCTATATATTTCTATATAGAGTGTCTTCTTTCAATGTCAGTTTGTAACTTCAACCGTGCATATCTGTAGGTTTATATCAGAGAGGCCATGGGTTCGGGTCATGGCCTCTTTTGTTGTCTGATGATGTTGTTTCGCTTCGTTATTGGTTGCAAGGTTGTTCGAATATACAACTACGCTACTGTGTATGTATTACAGTAGCCACGTTAGAGGGTCGCTTGGAAGCATATGGGTGCGTATCGAGTTACAAGACGTTTGTCATCATCAGAACAGTTATTGTTCCTTATTGTTAGATCCAGGGGTGCTCCTGAATTTTCAAAAATGTCGGTCAACTTTTTCTGTTCACTTCACAGCCTCTATCCTATCAGACTATAGCGCTTATATTATATTCAATGAGAATGTTTCCGGTCGATGAATATTAATATAACACATTTTATAGGTAGACAAATATATCTGTAACATATAAGTAGTGTAATATTAGATGTTTAATATAAATATGCGCAGTTTGTATTGCGAATAACTTTGTTATTACATATTGTTAATAAATCAAAAATCTAAAAGTAACGGTTTTCTTTTTGCCTGAACTGTATTTTATATATTTTATGAAAAATTTTGCCCAATTTAAGAATCTCTTAAAATTTTTTAAAAATGCAGGTAATTCAGGTAAAAAATCCCAACAAATCAGGAACTTTTCCAAGAGCGGATTTTTATTTCACCGATGAAATTGTGGTAACACGATACCTTAAATCAAATCGATCATTACGCGTAATCAAGCGGGTAACCGGTTAAATTCTCGAATTGCTCTTTTAGACACTTCTACATTACATTTTATTTGTATTTAACAGAGACCCCTTCGGTAAAGCAGCTGGATTTTTTGTCAAGTTTCCCGGTAAATTAAAACTTTTTTTCACGAGAATATGAGCTGCTTTTAACCCTGATTTTGTAACCGATTGATATTTGGGTTGAGCTATTATTGGTCTGTAATAACTTCACAGGGAAGTTATGGCTCGTCGATCAAATCTACCTGAGTTTGAAACATTTTTTACCGGTAGAAACTGGATAAAGGAACTATCAAATTAATTTGATAGTTTGTTTCAATAATAATTCCCTTATGGGAGTGTTATCAAGTTCAAAACAATTTAATTTCTAATTAGTCAATTACAGTTTGTTAATTGGAAAATTATAGATTCCCAGTTTGAATCCGCGCTCGGAATTAAAACTTTTATATATCGTTGTAAAGTTGACAGGCCCTTGGGATTTTGCTTAGAGTCTCTGATTTTCATTGTAGGAAAATTTTCGCGTGAAAACGTTGTTTAGAGGAAGAATTTTTGTGGCAGTGATTGAACGTGATGTATCGATTCCTCATAAGGACACGCGCTTACATGTCTCTATAATATATCTCTTCTTATTCACTTTCTAAACGGTCGATTGTCAATTGGCAATGTTCCAGTATTTTCTACAATTCGAAAATTTCCAATTCTTGGAGAATTTCTAGCAACTTTTTCAGACGCGTCTGAAGAGTGACTATCAATTGTCTGATCTTGGCAAACACCAAATGTTCCCATGGGCCACATCCATCGTCGCAGAATATTCTTCTTTATCTCTGATGTACTCGAAAAGGTCTTTTATTTTCTGAATTTCTCTAAGAAAATGAGTGAAGACTTATTTGGTGACATACATTCATAGATTGCAACTTTGTAAATTGTTGGACGTGAATAATTAAATTATGAGGAAAAAGGTGGAGACGATGAAATGGTGAAACGTTATTTGCTGCCGTGTCGTAAATATTTCACGGCACACACGTATTTATGATTCGTGTTGTTGGCGCGATGCTAGTTACCTTCTTTGCGTAAGAAGGCAAGGTGTGTTAATCTTAAGCAACGCCCCTCGCCAATGCGCCTTAATGCCTTCAGATTTATCGTCAGGAAAATATTAAAGTGCTTTCTCGTTTTCACACGCGGTCTAACAGACTCCCCGTGCAAATTCGCTGTGGCCCTTTACTCGATTGTGATGTATCGAGACTAGGAGTAAGAAAAAAAGGCAACATCAATGATCCCCTTCCTTTTCTGACTTCTTGGAGCCTCCTACTGGTTATAAATTAAAGTCGAAGGTTCTGTTAAGTATAAAGCGACCATTTTTTTAGGGATACCACGATTTATTGACTTGTGGTTTACATTCGCTTCCACCAGCTTCGATCTAAGAATTCTTTCGCGCCTTATACGATTATTTCTATTAAATTTATAATCGATTTATTCCTTCGTACATTTATTTTCTTTACTATAATCCTTCCATTAGTTTACTAATTACACTATTACGTTATTTTAATTATAATTTAACAGTAGTAATAATTTTTCGATTTTATATGTTTACATACTTTCGAGGAGTTATTTAAAGAATTTTAGTTCGACGAGATAAGGGCGTGAGGGCAGAATAAATACTATTTGTTTACTCTTAGAGGATTATCTCCTAAAGAAAATGAAACAGTGATGCGTTAGGATCTCATAACAGTTGCAGAATCCCTTTTACACGTTCTTCCCCCTAACGAGAAACTCACGTGTCCGAATATAGGGGTAGTCCATCGATCATCATCCAATTGTTCTCCGTGACATTGGCTGAATGATGTTTTGGCATGAGCACCGTGGGCGGATTGCGGAAGTGAATGCACTCGCGAATCGGAGGTGTGACAATCCTAAAGTTTCGTTACCTTCTTGGGAATAACCCATTCGATGCTAAGATTTTAGACACCCTTACAGCTGTCTTCTGGAGTCAATGTCTTCTTCATTGAGTTGATGGATCGTTAATCCTGATTTTAGCTATGTATATCCTCAAGTCCAAATATGCCCCTGGGAGCTGAAAACAACAGAAACATTTTCTAGGATCATGGAGATTATATGTCATTTTGTCTGGAACACCAAGGGTGAGTTAAATTGCTTTGACGAATTGGATCAACTTTTTATATACAGATGTCTCCATCGATCTCATGCGGTTCGGAATTCGGATCTTAACGAAAGGAAGATAATTTTTTTGAATGACGTTATTGATACTGGTATATTTAATTCCAGCAAAATCATACTAAATAATAAAAGTCAAAAAATATAGTAATATCTTTGTGTTTCAATTAAAAATAATTAGTCGTCATTGTATTTCTCGTTTGAATGAAAAGTATTTTTATTTTTTTACATGATAAATCATGACGCCTTGGAAGAATTGTTTGTTGAAAGTTATTATCAAGTTTTGAACCGGGAAATAAGGTAAAGCATATATTATATGTATATTTTTTAAAATGTAACGCTCTGCGGCAAATGGTATACGTATAAGCTCCCAAATTTTTTAGGTTATATTTTTGATTTTTGAAGTGAAAATATACATAAAGAGGGTCAACTCTTTATACAAACTGTTGATGTTTAAGTATTTATTACATCTAAAATATTCAATAAAATCTATTT